GCCTAGAATCCCCCAGTGAGGGGCTGGGGGCGTGGCTCAGTGGTAGAATTCCTGTCTAGAAGCTTCCATTGTGCTGGCTAGTTTGATGCCAATTTAACATAGGCTAGAGTTATTTGAGGAGCCCCTAAGCTGAGAAGTTGCCTCCATAAAATCAGGCTTGTAGGGCATTTCTTTTTCTTTTTTTCTTTCTTCCTTTCTTTGCTTCTCCCTCACTCCCTTTTTCAGTTTTTTGAGACAAGAGTTTCTTTGTGTAGCCCCGGATGTCCTGGAACTCACTTTATAGGGAAGACTAGTCTCGAACGCAGAGATCCATCTGCCTCTGCCTCACGAGTGTCGGGATTAATGGCATGGGCCACCCCTGTCCTAGAGGGGCGTGGCTCAGGAGTAAAGCCTTTGTCTAGTATATGTAAAGTCTGTGATCCAGCCACAATACTTCAGACAAAACTAAAGACTAGAGCTAAAGTTAGGTAGAGCCCTGCAATGGGGAATGACAGGAAGGAGATGGAGTTAGGTCTTGCTGGATGAGATTTAAGGTGGTTTTTGGTGAGATTCTGGGTTTGGTAGGCAAGGCTGCTTCGGTTGGAGATGGGTGAAGACAGGTGGGAGAGGCCGGGTAGTTGATGGCTTTGGGGCTCCTGTAACCACAGAGCTGTTGCGTTTGGCTGAGGGCAAGACTTGGCCAAGGTTGCTAAAGGACTCGAAGCTTGCAAACACTTACGGAGCCCCTTTCTCTGATCGTCGGCAGCAGCCAGGGCGCCCCTTGCGTCTCATGCAGTAGAAAGCAGCGACCACGAGTAGCAAGAGACCGACGCTGACTGCCACGGCCATGACAGCCACTCCAGCCTGGGCAGTCTGAGCGGCCACTGTAAGGAGAAAACAACCCGACGATGTACTCAGAACTAGATCAGGGCAGCCTGCATGTCCACCCCGCTGCTCCCCTCTAGGTACCTACCAGAGCCAAAGTGGAAGACATGGCCTTTCTTGCCATGGATGTTGGACGCTTCGCAGGACACACCCTCTCGGCTCAGGGCGCTGGTCACTTTCACTATCAGCGAGCTGCTCATCCAGCCTCTACCCTCAGAGGGCTGCTCTGCTGGCTGTGGAGGCTTGGATTAGGCCCGGCCCCTCGGGATCAAGGGCTGGGGGGGTGAAGGCTGAGGTGGAGTGTTGGGGTATATGAAGCTTGGATCGTCGAGGGTCGGGGTCCCCTGTGGAACTTGGGGTGGACTCAGGGAGGCAAGGAAAGCCCCTTACAGTATCGCCTCGCTGACTCCAGGTGAGTTTGGGCTCTGGGAAGCCCCGGGCGGAGCAGGTCAGCATGACTTCATCGCCTTCTGTCCAGCTAGTCCCTGATTTGGGCTTTATCTCATTCGGTTTTAACTCTGGTGCTCCTGTGGGTGGCAGGGAAGTGCAGCACAGTGAGGGGAGACACGGGAGGGCAAAGAGGAGAAAATAGAGAGGAGGAATGGGGCGAGCTCTCGGTGGATAAAGTGCTGCTATACAAGCGTAAGGACCTGAGTTCGGAGCCCTAGCACCCACATAGAAGATGGCTGAAGGAGTGAGCATTTCTAACCCCGGCACTGGGGTTGGAGAGAGGAGAGACAGGAGGATTCCTGGACTTCTTTGAACATTCATAAACCTAATCACTGAGCTCTGGTCTCCAAGAAGGTGGAGCAGCCTGGCAAGATGGCTCAGGAGATAAAAGTGCATGTCACCAAGCCTGACAACCTGACTTCCGTCCTTGGAACCGATGTGATGGAAGGAGAGAACGGACTCCCGCAGGTTGTTCTCTGACCACCAAACTGCCTCCCCCCAAATAAATCAACATAAACAGATAATACAGCTGTGCACAGCAGCATACACACTGAATCCCAGCACCCGGGAAGCAGAGGCAGCTGCATCTCTGTGGGTTTGAGGCTAGTCCAATCTACATACTGAATTCCAGGCCAGACAGGGCTACACAGTGAAACCCCTGTCTCAGAACACGCATTCCTCCCCAGCAAAAAATGAAGGAGTAGAGAAAGACTCCCAGTGCCAACTTCTGGCCTCAGGCATGTACATACATGCACAGACACACATACACACACATACACACACATACACACATACATACATACATACACACACATACACACATACATACACATACACACATACATACACATACACACATACACACACATAC